AAAAAAAGGGAAAAACATAACAAAATAACAAATCGACAAAAAATTAAAAATAAAGAAAGCAATGATCTGGAATCGAAAAAAAGTAAAAAAAATAAATGTGTAAATGATCGTGACGCGAACCACGGCCGTCTGTTTTGGGGCCGCCCGATTACCGACCGAGCTATTATGACATTTTCTCTTGCGGCGAAATTTACCGACATATTCGAATTATATTTTTCATTCCCTGAAAACATGGGATAAAAGGGCATTTTCTAAAAATGAAACCTAGCTAGATTCATTTTTTGCCCCCGAATCTACGCACATACGAAATTTCATGAAAATCGCTGGAGCCGTTTCCGAGATTCCGATTATATATATATACAAGAATTGCTCGTTTAAAGGATAAGGTATAGATGATAGACAAATGAATGAACCTCTAAATTATCACACGTAGACAGGCACTGTCAATGAGTCATTTTCGAAAACCATTACATAAATTACAAAAATTTTAAGTTTTCTGTTAGGCAATCTTCTTATTTAAATTTGTAATAAACATCGTGTTTGTTTTGTATGCATAAAGAAAGATGCCTTCAAAGTTTAATCACGGGCCTCAAGTTACAAATGGTGATAAATAGCGAGGTAGGATAGTGTTTATAATAATATTCGAACAAATAAACTCAGGTTGTGATTGCCTAATTATAAAGTTAGTATTCCAGGATGAACCTGTGTAAATTCAAAAGTATGAATATTTAGATACCTATAGGTATAGAAGGCTCGGTCTCGGTATTTTAAGACTTGTCCCTTGATGTTATGTTTATGGGTCATGATTTTTATTCTATATAAAGAGACGGCAAGCGAGCTGACGGTTCACCTGATGTTAAGTAATCACCGCCGCCCATGGGTGTCTAGATGTCTACGATACCCGTGGAATTGCAGATGCGTTGCCAATTTTAATTAAGTGGGCCCCAGTTACCTGATACCTCACTCACCAAACGAAACGCTATGTATTTAATATGTATTATAAAACTGCCAGGATTATGTTAATTTTCTCAATTTAAGTACTCACAAAATACGTACTCACTGAGCACATAATCAATGGGGGGGATCAATGGTGATCAAGTGCGGGGCACCCGTGACTTTGATGTGAGTGTATGGGGATCAAAAAGTCCAGATTAGCATTTTTAATGTTTTATTTTATAAATAAATTCGTCATAACGATGGTCGGTTATTTAGTATTATAAAGCTGTATAAGAGATAGCTATATATGAAGGGATACAAAACCAATTCGAATTTACGAAGTTGCAGCCGTGGCTTTCATCTCTAATGAAATCTATGGCAAATTGAACGCTTGAAATTCCGGTTAAAGCCATCGCGTGGATTCATCGAAAACTAAACAGTTAATATTACTCTCGTTATTTCAGATTGATTTCTGTCATCGCTTCATGCACGCTGAGGTTTTTATTTGGAGATGAAAATAAAGGAGGCGATGCATTGAAATAATCGTCTGATAAAGTTAAAAGTTTCGAGTTTTGCAGCTTGTCCCACTGTCAGTTAACGAAAATGGAGGAAGATGGAGCAAAATTCAAAGTACATTTCACGCGAAGTTTTGATGTTTATAAGGTCGATCAAATTTTACCAACCAAAGATACAAGATTATTACAAAAACTTTTGAAGACAAGGGCAATTTACGATGACACTAGGTGTCGAATTCTTTCCGAAAGCTTTGTTAACGCAAGTGGAAGAGGTAAATTGATTAAAAAAAAGACATTAGCACCCACAGACATTGAAAAAGCCAGAACGATAATTGATTTAGTCTCCTTAGTCGACAAGGGGCCTGACTTGAGCGCAGTAGCGAATAGGAATAAGGCGTATTGCTGCTCCAGTCGAAAACCTCGTCTATGCGAAAAGTCCACACAAGTGAAGAAACGGAGGTTTTGCGTTGATCAAGACAAAATTCCGAAACTGCAACAAAGCGAGCCGCCTTACGGAAAAGCGAATGTACATTTTAAACTGCATCATGTCCATTCTGATCCATGTCATTCTAAATGTGCAGTCCAAAGAACTTGTTGTCAAACCACGTGTGTGCAAGTTGAAATGTTGGGAACTATTGATGGCAACGAATCACCTAAGGCTGACGGTTGTAAAAAAAAGAAAGATTCATGTAATAGAAATATGATGAAGAGTTTCTCTCGTGTCACGAATTTGATATTAAACAACTTATCAAAAGAATGTCGTAGGGCCGTTAATATAAAAAGGTCACCTAAAATAGACTGTGCACAGTCGAATGTACATACGGTTCTATGTGAAGTGAGCAAACAAGTAGAAGTACCTATTGCAACGGAATGTTGCAATAAAACAAAAAACGCCTGTGTCAAAACTTCGAAGAAAACTACGAGACCACTAGCAAGACCGAATTCAGATGAATGTTATGCGGGCGCCAACAAAAATTTAAAACAGAACGCCTATTTTGTTAGCATATTCCGGAAAAAGCCCCATAACAAATCCATTGAGGTAAAAGATCCTATTGAGCCCTGCCCATTATTCGAAGTATCTAATGTTTGTTGTCGCATAAAAAAAAATCCTTGCGACTCGCAAGAGCCACAAGTAGTACAGATAAAAACAAGCAAGACCATCGGATGTCAAAATAAGAGAAACTGTGATCGCAGGAAGAGGTCGCAGGTCAAAATTCAGTTCTTAACGAAGGGAATGAATGAGGCAATAGAGCCGTTTTGTGTTTTTCAATGCAAGCCCAAGAAAACGAAGTTTTGTGATAGTGTCCGTTCCAGTTCGGCATCGAAACTGCGTCGACGTAAAAAAGAGAAAGCTAAAAAAACCAACAAAAAACCTTCAAAAAGGAAAGAAACGGTGCATCTGAAATCTTCCTGTGGATGTCATAAAAACACACAAACTAAATGTTGTAAAAAACAAAATTCAAAGCCAATGGTAAATTTAAAAAATAACTCTTGTGTAAAGAATTCAACTAACGGCGTTGGAAAATGTAGTAAAGTGAACAATGATAAGCAAGATAAATGTACCCTCTCACGTCAACAAAAGAATGTTTCCGAATGTTCTGTATCTGAAACTCACGTTCAAAAACCACGATGTTGTTCCAAGAGATCAGTTGATTCAAAGCCTGAACAAAAACAGGTTAGATGTCATTCGAGAAAAGTTAACACGGGAAAAGTAAAAATCCGGTCGACCTCTATTGACTGTAAGAAAACACCCAAGGCTAAGAATGTGCAATCTGCGGCCATCAATTGCAAGGATGCCAAAATAATAACAGGGGCAGGGAAAGTGGAACCCATACGAATACTAAAGGCAGAGAAGTGCGAGCCGAAACAGGTTGGCCGTAAGAAAGCTACTCGTAGGCGTCAAGCCGTAAGAATCGGATCTACTTGTAGCTTTGGCATAGAATTTTATAGAGAGACAAGGCCGAGAGAAAAATGCGTAAAAAAAGGACAGAATGAACACTGCTCATTTGCCAGTTTCAAATCCATTGTAAAGAAATCAAATAAAAGTACTAAAACAAAGCGGCCGTTCTGTTCACTATGTTACTACGTTGATATATATCGAAAGGAACCTAAATCCCCAATGACAGTTTCGTGTTCAACCGATTCGTTAAAATCTAGCGATCTATCGAGTGGCGACTACCCTTTGAATGATCCAGCAATTATTGCAAATAAAAAAGAAAGATCGAATAAGTTAGACTATTGTTTGCTTCGTTGTAATAAGTCAATCTTTGCAGAAAAACGAGGTTTATCTGATCTGGTAATTAGCAATAATTCTGATCGAAATAACATTTCATGCGTGCACAGTTCATATTCAACCGAAAATGCATTGAAACAATGCAGTAATATTAATGTACTTGCGAAAGTTCAGCAAAATTTTTTTTTTCGTGAACTATGTAACACGTTATTCCAAAAGATAAGGACGCTCAACTTCTTTACATCCCTAGCAGTCTTCCCGACACTTGACGAAGGAGTTGAACTAATTCCAACAAAAGATAACAATTGTAAATGTACTTTCCTCGTAATCAATCTTTGTAATTCGGCCGTACTAATACTTGTGGAAGAACTTCATTCTCTTAGAACAATCGTTGAAAAATGTTGCAGATTTTTATTTTCAGCTTAGAACATTATATTATAGTAACTGAAAATAAAAAATGTTATTGCTTTTCATAATTCATGAAAAATATTGAAATAATTTTGAAATTAAACAAAATAAACAGTCACTAACTCGGATCTTGGTTTTTAAATTAATGTTATTTGTTTCGTTTTATAAATTGTAATAAGTAATGTGAATTTTATATAATTCTATGTTATTTACGTTATTCACTTAAAATTAAATATAGTCATTGTCTTAAACATTCCTGTAAAATTAATTGTTAACTTTTAAATAAGATATTTCGTTTCATCTTGGTCGCTGGTGATGGTTATTAAATTGATGTTTTAATTGTATTCAAATTTTTCCTTCTAGTTTATCTATATATTTTTATATTAGGAGGCACTTTTTAGATTATAAAAGAATAACACACTCGACAACAGTCGACTTCATAAAATATTTTAAAAAACTAGAATTATAAAACATTTATTACTATATACAGATCCTTGCCTTCCTATTTTATTTATCACGATATTTATCACCGAGTTTAGTAGTGGAATACTTTAAAGAATAGATATAATCAAAATAAATTAAAAATTGATTTCTACAGTAACATTACTTATTAAGTTTGCATTACTTTTTACACGTGTAACAGTTTAATATATCCGTATCTTAATAAGTAAAAATAAACCGTAAACCTGGTTGTGTAATGCACTACGAAGTTTAAACTTCTTAGATCTTAGTTGAGTTTTTCGTGGAAACCTAACACATGATTTGACCTGGTTAAATAAATTAATGCGCAACGTATGTAGATCCGTAACAAAATTCGCTGGCGCGTTTTGGGCGTTATCTTTTTTAAACAAAATAAACAGCTCTGTTCCGTTTTCAACAACACGACGCAGACATAATCAACGACTCACGATCACTGGGCGCCGCTCCGGTGCCCGCTATTATCGCGAACGTCATCACCACAACACTTAGGTAGGCCATTGTTACTGGCGTCGATTTACACAAATTGCTTTATATATAGGTGACCGTAACAGCCCACGGGCCATCATTTCCTCCGTCCGACCTTGGCAATTGGATAATCGTCTGGAACAATGTACGCAGCGACGTTGTACCCCGGTTGCGTCGTTTTACTGCGCGTCCTTTTGGTTTCATACATTGTTTTGGTTGAATTAAACAATTGCCTTAATCGTTTCAATCTTGTCCGATCCAACGATTAACGGCAAACCTTTAAACAACAAATTGTTTAAAGCATTGCGGTTACTTCGTTGTTATTTTACTTACATATCAATTTCCAAAAGCCACTTGTTTAGGTAATCAACATAGTAGCTTTTAAAACGATTATCATCGTTTTGTCATGATGATAGTTGACCGACAAACTATTTTTATTCCGCCGGTGGTGTGTTCAATAATGAAATGGATGTTTATGCTTGTATAGACTTAATAAATAATTTAATTCACTTAATTTATCGTTAGGTAATTCGGTAAAAATTAAAAATCTACATGCCTTTTATTATTGTTCGTAACTTTATAAGAAATGGCATACATTTGACCAGATTTAATCTTTTACCAACCTTCGACAAAACGCTTTCAGTTTTACTTAACTAAAGTTAACGGGCCAAATGACATTCACCAAATAATATTTAGTCTGAAGTTCTAACAGTGTTCTCTTGTGCTATACATGACATTAATAAGGCTTAAGTTGTTTGGCCGCTTTGCTTTCTATAATGCGCATATACGGAGCTATGAGTAAACTTTTGAGGTTGTGCCGGAGGCTGCTCGAGAACAGCCAATTAACAAGGTAAGACGTGATTAATTAGACTAGAGAAGAGACCTGACTCACTTGTCTATGTAAAGGCCTGTTTAGCGCACTTAGCTCATGGAGTCGCAGTTTTAGGTGTTTGATCTGTCTGCTCTAGAAAAGCTTTGCGCAACGTCAAACACAAAGTATTTTTTTTTTGCTACATTCTGTTTGCATAAATGTTCATGCAGTATTTTGAATAGTCGTTCGGAAAATTTAAGTGAACTAAATCTACGTCAGACTGGTATACTGCTGAAGCCTGCGGTGTATCTACAGATTTTAGAAGGAACTCGATAGTTATCGACTTATACTGTGTGATGGTTAGTAATACAGACCGTAGATGGTAAATTTAGTAGCTCACTAAAGTACTATTCATGAAAAGTAATAGCGTCGGTGTGGAAAACAGCCATTTAGCTTTTATAAACCGGCTGACATGAGTCATTAATTTTAAGGCCATGCCCAATTGCTCTGACAAATTTCTTTTGCGCTATAAATGCTTATTTTTGTTCGTGTTTTTTGTCTAATAATATAGTTAAGTGTGATTGTATTTTTTGGGCACGCTAAGAAGACGCACGTTGCTATAATCAACATAATATACAACACGTAGTGCCCAAGATCGTTGTTTTGTTTAAACTTTAATAAACTTACATTAAATGAATACATCTACTTAGAAGAATTTATTACAATCTATCCAGTAATTTTTCCATGATGCGCACACAACACTCGTCTTTCAACACGAGACACATTTCTAGTTGGCAAGGAATAATTTTAGTCGTTTATCAAAAACCTCCTGATAGTGTAATCACGGTATGTACATAAATAATTGATTTGAACGGGCGCTTTTGCGTAAACTGTTCTCATTTAACTTAGTTCTGAGCATAAAGGCTTTTGCAACATAAATCTCATCCACGCGTCGGTCACAAGCCTAGAAATTATTCAATCCGCTCACTGAGCGAACTAATTTCCTTGGAAACCTAGGCTTTGCGATTAACTCGACATTGGGCCGTTTGGCCAGTCCTAATGGGATTACTTTAATTTCATACGAAGAGGGTTATGTATTTGGTATGGAAATTGAGCATGAATCTATTTGAACGGGTTTAGAGTTAATGGATACGATAGTATAAATTAGTATTATTATGTTATTCAGCTGTTATTTGAAGCCATGATAGATCAGTTCATTGTTAGTTTATTTAAAATACTCGAGCAACCCAAGCTCAAATCCTGTTGCCGGCACCAATGAAATTGATAATTTTAAGCGCCTTTGAAGTCATCGTGTGCCCCGCGGTTAAGGAAACTTGCATAATTTCGAAATAGTAACAAAAATATATATATTTTGAAGATCTTGTTAATGTTACAGATGGTGGGTATATACCGTAACCCGCAAGACGGAAACCCCATTACAATACACTATCAAATTTTATCATGTTAATGATTTTTGTTTCTACGATGGCTTTTACAAGGTGATAGGGCCACGGAACAGTGTTCGCTGTTGCACGAATGGGCAGGTCCGTTCGGGTTAGTACCACGACCTCACTGAAGACCAGCGTACAGTAGAAGTGTTGCACTTCTACGTTTCGTCTGGTGAGTGAGGTAGCCGGGCCCCACTTTATTAACAGGTGGCAACCCTACGGGTGTTGCAAATGTCCATGGACAGGTGGTTATCAATTAACATCAGGTGAACCGCCAGCTCGTTTGCCACTTTCTCACATAAAAAAAAAATCTTCGTTTGGCATAGTATTTTGTAATATCTTTAGATGTCTGTCTATTAGACAAGCACTAGTTAAGACTATAATTCTATTTGTTTATGTGTGGATGGTATAATAAATGTGAAAGAACTCTGTATTCATTTTATACTTGATTTTTAGATATTCCCTAAGTATCTCTGGAGCCCAAGATCCGATACCAATGAAATTATTGTCTCATATTCACACATGGGAAGCACCAGCTTTTAAATAACGAATAATCATCCAAATCGGTTCTCTCAGTGTAAAGTTCTGAGTTAACAAACATAAAAAAAAATACAGTCGAATTGAGAACGTCCCCCTTTTTTGTAATCGGTTGAGAATAAAATATAGTATAAGGTATAGGGATATAGAATAGGGCAAGTTATAGATTTCTAGTCATATGGGGCATTTAAACCTTTAGTTCATGACTTCATGGGCGACCAGGGTTAGATCCACTGATGTGGAGAGGATCAACGGAGATTTTTATGTTGAAAGTTGGCAAACGATCAGGTGGTTCCTCTGATGTTCAGTGATTACCGACCTCCGTCCATTATTGGACTACAACACCTGGTCGGTTGAAAATGCTTAACCAACAATAAAAAAGTGGGTCCCAGTTACTTCATTCACCAGATAAAATGCGAAAATTTGATATTTTCACTTCACGTCGCTCTTCTGTCTACTTGCATAGCAGAAGCTGATGGATAGCCCTAACAAACATTTGATGAAACTTTTCCATTAAACAATCTGTCGCGGCCCGCGACCATTAATGATGTAAAGTAAAGTATTCGAAATGGAATTAACAATTCTAACTATGTATATCTTAAAAGTAAAATTCTCGTACATAAGAGATAATAATTAGGATTGGAAGTCACCCATAAGAGAATTTTGCTATGTGTGTTTTTAAGATAAGAAATTGATCTTAAAAAATATACACGCGTAATTGATAAAATATGTCATGGTGTTGTAATTTTATTCCTAAGTTATTTGACACTAATAATGTTTTCAGCGTGGTCACATGAGGGCTCAGGGCGGTGTGGACGAGCGGTGAATTACGAATTCTATCCTGTATTCCTAATTGAATAATAGCGCTCTGGATCACGTGCTTTTTGAAACGGATTTCTTTATTCGACATGAGGTCAAAGGTCAAAAGTTTTAAGTTAATAAGTGCTTGATTTGCTCGATATCCTTGTTTCATATATGTTCTTGAAAAGCTATTTCAAATGCAGTTGGAGAGAAAGGGAAAAAATATCTATTCAGTAAACAATAAAACAGTAAAAGTAACCTTTTTTAATACCTAAAAATATTTGCACTTATCCTGGAAGTATTCTAGGAAATAAACAATGATATTAATGAAGTGAAATAAATTTTACTTCGACCCAGTTTGACTTATAGAAAAGTTATACTTATTTTCATTTTTTGAAATCATTGCAACAAATGGAAAATGAAATCTTACCCTTATTACATTTTCCAAATTAGTACCTAATAGTTACATTATGGAATAGTCACCTCTCCTAGTATAATTTTCATAATATACTTTTTCTGATAAATGTTTTTAAATATATCAACAAATTATCATGAACTAGATGCAATTTAATACTACAGTTCGAATTGAAGTATTTTCAAAGTCATGATGGTGGTAAATTACGAGAATGAGGTTTCGTTATTAATTTAAAATTTTCCGAAGGTTATGAACGCTTGACACCGTATTTTAAAAAAATGTAGAGGCGAAAGTGCGCTGCAATAAATTAAAAATTCTACGTTGACACGTATTAAATCGTATGAAAGCTTTTAGCGTAATTTTATTTCATTATTTCAATTCTTGACAAACTGCATTTAACAGCACCGATATGTTCATAGGAATTTATTAAAGTTATTCATAAAAACTCTATTTCACAATGACATCTAATTCAGGTATTCCGTATTAGAAATTACTTGCATGATTTGCAAACATATGGATAATATTTTTTTGCACATCATATTTTTTACAAACGGAATGTAACAGAAGAAATAAAGCTTTTGTAATAAGATTAATTGGAAATGTAATAAGGTTGAAATTTCAAGCCCTAATTCTGTCCTCAACTTTACCATGTTTGTGAGTTCCAAAACTTAAAAGACGGAAGGAGAAAGTTCATAATTATGTTATTAGGTCAATGATAATATATAGATAAATACGAACTAAACGGGTCGCTAGTATAAGTCGCTTTCATATAGTCCTGTTGGATGTTTCATTTCCTGGGCATAAGTTTCCATGACACTAACATACGTATGATTCTTTGGATGTGCGGCATTGCAATTACGACATTTCAGCTGTATCTCTTCATAGTAACAAAATATGTCTCTTAGCGGGACGACTTTGTTTTATACTATGTAGTGATGATGTTACATGGCTGTTAGCTACAACTTTGTAGGCCATTACGGCTTCTGAGTCATTCAGAGTTATGTGTAAACTTCTGTGGCTG